TTCTTTAGCGAACAACATTTTGACGGTATCCTCAATGGCGAAGTGGAGTTTCATCCTTGTTTTCTGTAAGCAATTCAGATGTTTTCAAATCATTATTTTTCCTAATGGAGGGAGAGAGAGGAGGCCCCATGAGTAGGGTGGGCGGTAAGGAAGGGAATGGAGATAATCAGTGGGATATCCGTCGAAGGAGAGTACTAAAGAGATGGGGGATGAACAAAGATGGCATCTGCTGAAAGATGAGGAAGAGATTATAATTTCTTGAAGATAAGTGTGTAGGCTTGTGGAATGGGTCACATTACTTCTTAGAAAATGTCCAAGACGTCAACAGTGTCCCGGCTGAAGTTTAAATAAGGATCTGCAGCATGTTTTCCTGACGCATTCATTTTTGAGATTAAATCAAGTTCAATAAAATTCCCCTGGAGTTCAATAAAACTATTCCAATGAAATATACTTAAAAGACTGCAATAAACCAACTTTTAACTACCCTGCGTACACCTTTTTCACATAAAAACTACATTTACGGTCTTAATAAAAAATCGATGGCAAGGTTTTTAGTTGGAATCGGAGAGAAATTGGTGCAATGGCTATACCCTAAGCCTGGCGAGCCCCAGCCCTGATGTCTGATGTGTTATTGAGCTAGATACTTTACAAAGCCTCTGAGCTTATGTTTTTCTTCTGCTTTTGCTTTTTACAACTTTGAATGCTGCGGAGGAATATTTAGGATTGTTAAAATTTAATTTACCTTGAATTTTTTGAAATCGTCATTAGTTTTGTCTCAGCTCGAGCAAACAAGGTTAATCTTTGGGTATTGCTTCTCTCTCTCCTATGCGGAGTACGTAATGAATTTTTGCGTAAGATTTCTTGTTGAATAGTCTAATAAATGGAGTAATTGTGCTTGCAAGTGGAGCCCAGCAAGTATGCAATCCCTTGTTTTGTGTACTAGCAAATTTTTTCTTTTTCTTGGTCTTAATATACCATTTACAATATCAAGCTCTTTATGATAACCATCAATTGTTTTGTTGTAATCAAACTGATTGGCTTGATGCAGTTATTGCAGGTTTGTTGGAGAATGCTAAGCAAGCACAAGAGTGGAAAGAAGTCCAAGAGTTTGATAAAGAACAAGTT